CTCAAGTCAACTTCGATCCTATTCCCCTCCTAAGAGAGAAGCCGAATGTGCCACTGATAATTCAGCTAATTCCACCTCCGTTTTGGAGCAAGACCAGTCCAGGAAAATTGTGCTAGAAAAAAATCCCTCTCGACTAAATATACAAGACGAGCTCTTCACGGATATTGCTAGCATATACTTCCCTGAGATAAAGGACTCTGAATCATCAACCATGCCTACCAACCAACTTTATAGTCGTGTTAATGCCTTTGAAAATGGCAAACTAGACTTCCTTACAAACGAATCCGATCTTCCAAAACCTCAAATAAGGAAAGATCTTATTTCGTTTATTCACTCTTCTCTTGCTAAGGATGAAACCGTGGCCTCTTTGAAGAGCAAAGTCGCTGACCTCTACGCCGATGTTGAATCATTAAAATACTCGCACTCCCAAGCTCAAGATGCTAAAGCTGAGCTAGAAGAGGAATGTTCTAGTCTTAAAAAGTCCATATCCCTGTTCTATGAACAGCTAGAATCCTCAAAGTCTTCTCGTTGTGCTCTGAAGCAAGAAGTGGATCGAATACGTTCCCTGATGGAAAATACAGATTCACAGAACCACCTACTTGTCCACGAAAACTCGTGTTTACAAGCTCAGTTAGCATGTAGTCGGGCTAGTCTCTGTGAGGCCAAACGGAATTTATCAAAACAACTTGAATGTATTCGCAATGATCTTATAGAAAGAGAGGCCATGTTTGAAAAAATCGTCTCTGAACGTACATCTTTTGAAATCCTGAATAGACAACGAACAAACGAACTATCTGAATGCAATCAAAAAATTATTTCTTTACGTGACGAATTGGCAAATTCAGAGGCTGAAGTCTTCTCGCTCGTTGCAAAATGTGAGCAATCGAGAAACTCTATAGAAACCTTAGAGCAAGCGAAGATAGTTCTTCTTGGCAAGATTTCCGCCTTAGAAGACGAAATTTCACGCCATTCTGGTGCTTACCAGGATATTAATTTACAGTATCAGGAAGCATGTAATCATATTAAGCAGCTTGAAGAAGAGCGCAAGTTAGATGAAGCGAATACAGCCCTGGTTTTGGAGGAAAAGGCAGCCCTTGTTGTTGCTCTAGATGCTGCTGGAAAGGATAAAGAGGCTTTGAACCTTAGCATTTCTAGTCTTAGTGGCGACATGGTCAGAGTTGAACAGAAAATCTTTTCAATGAAGAAAGAACTTTCTGACAGGTCATCTCGATTGGCTTTCTTGGAATCTACTAACGAGGATTTAAAAAATGATCTTAAAACTGCATCAGATCGGTTGGAAGAGATGTCAGCCCAATTTGAAGGCGCTCTACGGGATAAAGATATTCTCCAAACTACTCTTAAAACATTAACTGAGGAAAATAATGGCCTTAAAGACGATATTGTGCGTCTTTCTTTGGTCCTTGAGGCTGCGCAATCAGCTATTCAACCTGCCTGCATCGAAGCATCTGAAGCAGCACAAAGAGGGATGAAAGAGCAACTTGATATCATGAAGAATGGTCTAAACTTGAAAGAGTCTCATTTAAATGATCTAAAAAAGCAGATTGAAGTTCTTCTCTTGGAACAACAAAAATATGCAAATCTTATCCATGAGCACTCAGAATTACAGGCCAACTTTGATCGCCTTTCTCTTGAATATCTACAAGCTTGTGAAAATGCTAGTAGTAAGCATACACACATGGTCCAACAGCTTGATGAGTTTAAACTAAATACTCAACAAGTCTTAAAAGAAAAATCGTCTGAGATAAAAATTCTTTCTAGCCAAAATGAGTCCTTCAAAAAAGAGGTGTTTAGACTAAAGGATGAACTAAGTTTGCTAGAGGCATCCAATGCATCTGCTTTAGCCTCGGAATGGTCTGATAAACTGATTAAGAGCGAAGCTGAACGCTGTGAAATTGAGGCCAAATTGACCGAGTCAAGACAAAAAATCTTTGACATATCTGCTCAATATAGTAATGAGGTTGCCAATCTTCAAAGCGAGATTGTTCGTTTGGAGAGCCGGTCTC